GAGTAATGGGTTCGACCTCTGATTCTACCGAAGATTTACTAAATTATATTGGACACACTGACAACTAACAACAAACAAGATGGGTTTCGTCTTCACAACGTCAGCCGTGATGAAGTTTATCATGTGATAAACAACCTATGGTCAGACTGTTCTACAGGACCGGATAAAATCCCTGCCAAATATATTAAACTGGTTGCTGACATCTTAGCAGGACCTCTGACAAAGATAATGGCAGTATAGATTTAACAATGTTTCCTGAGGCTTGGAAAATATCCAGAATTTCTCCAATTCCGAGAAAATGAAACACCAATGAAAGATGAGGATTTACGACCTATAGCATTTCTACCTGTCCTGTCGAAGATTTATGAAAAAATTGTGGCCATACAAATGGTCCACTTTCTTGAAATGAATAAAATCCTGGATGAAAGAATCGTTGGATACCACAAAGGACACTCTACTACAACAGCCCTTCTCCAAATTTGTGATGACATCATCCGCGCTATGAAGGAAGGAGAATTGACACTTATGGTAATGGCAGATTATTCAAAAGCATTTGACACTGTAAATTTTAAAACCGTGCTTCGTAAAATGCATCATCTTGGGTTCTCCAATAACTTTATGAAATGGACGGCTAACTATTTATCCAATCGTAGACAATTGGTCCAGATTGATGACCATCAGTCAAAACCTGCCATTACCCATTTCTGTGTTCCACAAGGCTCCATACTAGGACCAATAATATTCAATATATATGTGTCTGATCTTAAAAAATCCATTCATCCTGCCTGATATGTCTCATATATAGTATGCTGATGACACAAGCCTGTACTCACATTGTCATGTGAAATATCTTCCAGACTGTTTTTCATCAATATCAGCCAATCTGGAGAATTTAAATGCTTGGTCATCACAATCAAATCTCGCTCTTAATCCAAAGAAAATTGATGCAATGTTGTTTTCAACTTCCCAAATGGCCAGTGTTCACTCTCTTGGGGAATTAGATTTGAGTTTAAATATATCTGGTAATACGTTGAAAAGAGTTGATTCGAAAAAACAGCTCAGAGTACATTTTCATGAACACTTAATATGGAATGAGCATGTAAAAATGACTGCATCTTCATGCTACGGCACACTTAGTACATTGTGGAAAATTAAACATTTCGCAGATTTTAAACTTCGTAAGCATCTTGCTGAGGCCTTGGTGCTATAAAAAATGGACTACAATGATATTGTGTTTGACCCACTTCCATTATACTTAGTAAAGCGTCTTCAGCATATTCAAAATGCTGCAACAAGTTTTGTCATAGGATGCTATGCAACTACAGCAGATGCTGTCAAGATAGGCTGGCTTCCAGTTCAAGAACGCAGGAAATTGCATCTTTTAAAAACAACATATAAAGTATTACATGATATGTCTTGGCCATCATATGCCAGCCTGGAAGTAGCCAAAACCATTGAGAAACCTATGATCAAGTGACTCAACTAAATTGACAGTTCCTCAAGTTAAGGGAACTTTTCAGGATTTGGCCTCAAAATATTTTAATAAACTTCCAAACAATATTAAAAATTGTGAAACTCTTGTTAGTTTTAGCATACAATCAAAGAACTATGTTATGGACATAGCTCAGGAATGATTGCAATAACTTGTTTTTGGCTTTGTAAATTGTAGTATAGTTTTAGTTACAATAATTAGTAGTAGAGTTTTATATAATATTAATGTTAGTAGAATATTAATAGTATGTAGTACTTAACAGGGAAGAGCCGCTTTGTTGGATCTGTTAATAAATTATTAATCATGGTATATGTCAAAGTCTAGCTGTTTGTTGAAAATCTATGGTATTACAGTAAAGTCATATATCAAAGATAAGCCAAACAACAATATATTTATGTCTTTCAGATATGAACACTGTTTAGTACTGTGTTTATACCACATTTATTTATTTTATAATCATGCAGCTATTTTATAATCATTTATTTTCGTTTTGACACAACTCACAAGCTTAATTTTTCTGCTTTATATATATTCTTAATAATACCAGTGAGATTTAAATTTTTTACTTTGTGGAATAGAATACCGTTATTTTTAATAGACAGCTTGTATCGTCTCTATCATATCCAGGATTGCTTGTGTGTAAATAGCCTACATGTATCACTATGACACTATAAAATAAATATACAAATATATTTGAGAGCCTTGTTTTACTTAGTAGTAGCATAATGACTAATAATGAACTAGAAAAAAACAGATGATTGAGACACAATGAAAACCATTAGTAGAAGTAGAAAATTTATTCAACACTACAAACTATCCTAATTTCGCAAAATCTCTCACTAAAAAACATCGCACTATACCATAACAACAACCAGTATTGAGGAACTTTCCGATTCATTACAGTTCGGACTCGCATGTCCCACCTGTGAACAAAACATAATTTTATGCCCAAGTTAACGGTGCAAAGCACCGTGCGAGGGTACTAATTCCCCCCGCTATTTACACCCGGGGAAACGAAAGCATTAGCGAAGTCTAAAGTTAAAGTTAATCAATTATCACGGGCATGGGTGACCAACCATAATAAAAGCCATTTTAAAAGGCAGTTTAGTTTTATAAAGAACACTAGTGACTCTAAAACGTTTTGCGAAGCATTTGTGGTTGAATTTTACCTTAAATTGAGGCTTATATTACGTATAATAACATACCTAACACATATCATATGTTGGGAAATTACTAATTTTGTAATTAAAAGTGATATTTTTAGGTGATTTTTCATTTGTAAGAATATTCTTAAAAAATTATCGTATTACCATGACAACAACTTTAGATAGTTCATGTTTGGAAAATACAATGGTTTTGTCAGCAAGGCAAGGGTTTCTGCATGCATGTATTTTCTAGTACTAAATATATTGAGTATTAACAGATTCTGACAATTCGTTTGTTATATAATGTGTGACGTTTTGCTGACAGGAAGGTCAAGAATTTACTTATTAAAAGAACATGCCGATGTGTCAAACAATATCATGACAATACAATCATGTCGGCTGTGTCGTGGGAACAATGAATAACATATAATGCTACAATCCCCACAGACAGAAAGTAAAAGAAACCCCCCCCCCCAGATGTCAGCAAGAAAAACTTTGACTATCATATGAAAATTTCTAGATCTGCCCCTGCCATACCAAATGATGAGTTTGCTACCATAATGCGAACTTCACCATTTGATTATTTTGAAAATTTGGCTTGTTTAACTTCATCAGATAATTGACCATGGTGTTTTACAGCATTTAATCCCCTTTTCAACAATCCACGATGCATTTTATCAACATCATGTGGAATAACACAATAAATTATTACACAATGTCCAACTGTATATTTTTCTCTGACAAATGATGCAATTTGATCAATGTGCTTTGGTGATCTATCTGCAACCTCAAAAGTCAGATTCTCACAGTAAACAGTTCCCTAATAGCCAAAAATCTTCCAAATATGTCCAATAGGGTTTGCTGAAATTTAGCAGTCGCTGTACCACTAAGCAAAATCTTTGGACATGACAACTTTGCAAGGTTCAGACATACTGCCTAGGTGGCAATGGTATTCCACAATGTCCAACTGTATATTTTTCTCTGACAAATGATGCAATTTGATCAATGTGCTTTGGTGATCTATCTGCAACCTCGAAAGTCAGATTCTCACAGTAAACAGTTTCCCTAATAGCCAAAAATCTTCCAAATATGTCCAATAGGGTTTGCTGAAATTTAGCAAAATCTTTGGACGTGACAACTTTGCAAGGTTCAGACATACTGCCCAGGTGGCAATGGTGTGAACCTCATCAAATACAATTCTGCCCTCTTGCAACTCAATTGGTACATCGTCAGTGAATTTACATACTGAGATTTCCAAATTATGGCATCTCAGCAATGTATCATCGATGAGGGATATTATGGGTGATACAATAAGTGACAACTTGTCAGAAAGTATTCCAGGCAACAGAAACATCAAAGTCTTTCCACCTCCAGTCCCCACAACAGTTAAAACGGATTTTCCTGCTAAATTTGCTTCAATCGTTTCCTTTTGGAGCGGTCGGAATGATTCGTGACTGAAGTACTTCTTCAAAACAGGTTCGAGCAAATCTTCTCCAAATTGCAATGATGTTGAAGGTCGCAATGTGTTCATCTCAGTCGCTTCGTCATCATTTTGATCAAATCTTGTCTCACTGGCTTCTTCTCGCTCTAAAATCTGGGCTAATTCCACAAAGACTTCTCCATTAACTATTA